CTTCCTAAAACACCATCCTGAAGATCTAGAGTAATAGAGAAATTGGTACAGTAACCCAGCACAACAAATAAACTTGAAGAAGTGGGGCTACTTCTAACTAAAACAGCATGTAGGTAGTTTAAACTGGGAATTGCTGTCATGAATTCAGTGTAAGGAAAGGTGGAAGAGATCAGGCAGAGTTCAAAAGGTACCATCGAAACAGAAAAGAGGAATGCGTTGAAGAGTGTATTACATTCAGTTATTGGAGGAGTACAACGGCACCATAAATTTTGGTGTGCCATTGCAGGCTATTTGAAAATTCGCAAACCAAAAGAGCTTGACACTGAAAGGGATTGGTGGAAACCAAGAAGTAGAAAATTACGAAAAGACAGAATCAATGAGGAAGTAAAGAAAAACATTAAGGCTGTCCCCAGACGTCAGCCAAGGGGTACCAAATATAAAAGATGTACTGAACCAGAAACATGGAGAGGCTAGACACATCATGACAATAACTTTGTCTGAAGCATTTGAACAGTACAAGAAGGAAAATAAATCCAGAAATAAAGATTGGATATATATTATTCAAAAAGTTTAAGCGAGTTAACATAAGACCAGTTTCTGAAACCTTCCACAGATCATGTCTAGCTAGAAGAATAACGAGGATTTTTCGAATATAACAAATTATATTATTCTTCTAGCTAAACGCCATATCTACTTTTCTAAAATGAGAAACAAAATACCTTCTTTTCATGGATGTCTATATCTCATCAGGCAAGTTCATAATTTTGAAAAAGAGATAGCGATAGGGGAGGCAAATTAGCGAAGCACACTGAAAATGGGAATGTTTTACTATGCTGTGATGTTGACCCCCTTTTTTTCCTCTTTACTTTATATTCGTATATTTATAATTATCTTGTTGCCATGGTTTTTGTGTAGAAATTGTACTCTTTTGATGGGATGATTTTATGTATTTATGTGGTTAACGTAAAAATAAAACAAAAAAAAAGTTAAGATAAAGCCAAAATTGAAAAAAATAGCTGCAAAGAGTTAATTTTTAGAATCAAAGTAATTACATATCAGTTTAAAAATATCAGATGATACAGTGATATTTGATATTTATTTATTAGTTCTTAGCTAGGGGCTTTGTTACCTCAAAATAGGTTTAAACTCCTCAATCTAGGTGATTGCGATTTTCCCAATTTCTCTTACCATAATAAATCAAGTATTTTGCATGTGAATGATAACCATTTTACAGGGGAACTATTGAATAAAATAAAGAAATGTTAAATCATTGAGTATTTAAATTTTTTGGATAAACCGATATGTTTATAACGGCATACAAGACATGTTGTAATATATGAGAATGGTCACGTTTCCCAATCTGTACAACCTCCAAAATCACGAGAGGATAGTGCAGGTGCTCCACAGTTTAATATTCCGAAACAACTCGAAAATCATTAGAATGAGGTTTTCCCAATTAGTGAAATAGCTTCCATGCTAAGTATCTTCGAAAAAAACATTTATCGAAGGATGCAGACTTATGGACTCAACGAGATTGAGTTTGCTGACATTTCAAATGATGCGCTTGATTCCTACA